GACTGGTAAAGCGCTATATAAATACAGGCCATTTACCATTTTTACCATCTACCTCCATCTTACCATCTTCCTACCTCCTTCCTGTCACACCAACCCTCTGTATAGTCTCCTTCACTACATCCATGACTCTGTGCACGTCTGCTCCTGCCTGGCAGCTCCATATTTAACATCATTTATCCAGTAAAGGCCATATCCCTCCTGTGCACAAGTATTCAGTAGTTTTCCAGTTCTTTTGGGTACCTTTACTGTGATTTCTCGGAGTATAAACATAAAACTTTGATTTGATGGCCTTTCTTAAACAGTCCTGTGTCATTATTATCTCAGCAGGTGTTTGTGAGGGTCTGGTAAGTGTTGATGTGCAAAAATCCCCTTTTAAAAAGTCTCCATTCAGAAGAAATAAATGCTTCACTTCTTCAACGAACATAATAGCATCATCGTACGCGTCTGAGAGGTTGTGCAATATGGAGCAGTTTAGCTTTCTTAACTTAGCTCTACCGTGCATGAGTAAAATACATTTGAGTTATTGACATGATATTAGAGATTAGATGTAAAACTAACCAGAAATGTCAAAAGAAAGTAAAGGTTAAAAGTGTTATTGTGTTTGAACGGTGTAAGTGTCTGTAAAAGATCATCGGAACGTTTAAGGGGAGTCAGACTTTAACAAATCGTCTGAAACCAAAAGAATGAAAATGTTAAAAGTTCAGCTGCTTGTCCACAGGAGGGATCCGTGCATGAGGCGAGAGGGAGGAGAGATTAGAGGCAGCAACAGTGAGGTCCACTTGTAGGTGACATCCACACCTGTCATGTCACACACCACAGGGAGTCAAGAGGTCACCAAACGGACGCAGTGACATCCACACCTGTCATGTCCGCGCCTTAAGAGGTCGCAGCTATGCGTTCGAGGGCGAGAGCGCACGGAGAACAGAGGAAGCGAGAGAGCGCGCGGGGGCAGCGGAGGGTCGCGTAGCGGTGAGATGACATCTAAACCTGTCATGTCGAGCTCCTCGCAGCGTCGAGCGGTCACCAGACAAAGACGGAGACAGAGGTAGACGGGGAAATCTGAAAAGCGCGAGGTGACATCTCCAGCTGTCATGTCTGCACTTGAACTGGGGTCAAGAGATTGTAGTTTTCACCAAAGACAAGGGACAAGGCATGGAGACGGACAGAGAGAGGACAGCTGTAAGTCACAGGAAGACCGAGAGCTATCAGCTGACAAACCAGACTCACACGTTCATGGAGGCTGTGCGCATCCTTATACTGTTCATGCATTCATTATTGTCAGAAATGTTGTGCACAGCTGCTTCTGTGTGAGTCCTGACATGTTTGTCAGCTGTCAGCTCAAATCAGCGCTGACTCCGTAAACAGTTTTCAGCTACCGATGACAAAATGCTTGTTATAGGCGAGTGCGTGGCCGCGGTCAGGACGTCTGATTAATCAGCTGTAGTGTTATCAGTCCACCGGTGTCTGTCGTTGTCTTTGGGTCAGAGTTTGCATCAAAGGGGACGCATGTCCAGCTGCAGTTAGTGTGGGACAGCTTTCCACGATCGAGCGAGGCTCGGCGAGGCTGAGATAAACATCTTCCTTTGAGCCCCCCTCCAGTTAATCCAACTTTCTTTTGATTGGCTGCTCGTTGTAAAACAATGATGGAGCGTCTGTGCTCGCAGTGCTGTGTGCCTGACCAGATTCAGTGTATCCAATCCTGCTGACATCACAGAGGGCCGAGAAAGGGAAAAAAGACATCGCTAACCCGTTTCTGTGATTTATGTAGTGTTGTCACTGAGTCAGCATCAGATACTTTTAATTTCACCCTTTACTTCCAAAAGCTGCACTGAAAGCTGTTTTTTCCTTTGTAGCACCACAAAGAATAACTGAAACTCTTCAACATCATTTTGTAAATGCACGGCTCATTAAACGTTCAAATGTGAAATCAAAATGCACATTTTTACAGTTCTCGCTGAGAGGAGAGATTCGGAGGTTTCCAGGAGTTTTACTGCTCCTGACATCAGACTGGGCTGCACGTGGAGTTTGACACTGCAGAGCGTGATATTCAGAATAAAGATGGTCACTTGTCATATAACATCTCAGCTAATGTCGACTGTTTGATGGTGACTCCGCTCCTGTTAGAGTTCAGGCTAAGAATGAATAAATGGGACTCAGCAGGTTACCTCTTACTTGGTGCAAATTAACATCACACCAGATATTTCTCAATAAAAGTACTCCATATTTTTTCAAGTGCTCTCTCATCCCATTGGTTGACAGCTTTCAGTGACCTTTTACTGTGTTTCACTGTGACTTTGTGTTACCTTCGTTCCCCAGCCTTCGCATGCAAAGCCAGCAGCGCTCGGGTCGCTCCCGCCATACCTGTGCAGGTGTGACATGTATCCTGAGCCTCAGAAGTTCTTTAACCCTTTAAAGCCGGTCGGAGCCGGTGTTCTGCACGCTCTGTTTTGCGTAACGATTTTTAAATCCCGGTAGCACTGCAATCACGTAAGCTAACGCAATAAATTTTTTTGCATATGAAACCGGAGGAGTTGTACTTGCATCTTATGCCATCAGCTTGTCCTCGGTCACAGTTTCCTTCCACATAAAGCTTTGCAAAAACTGCATAAAAAGCACTTGCAGCAACAAAAACACAATATTCCAGAAACACGCTTTGCCATCCAATCAGCTGTTCATAACACTTCCTACATTGGAATAGACGTCAGCGCGAACTATTGCATGTCCACCATGACCTGCCCGAAACCGGAAGTGACGTCATTTTCACGGAAATGTAGTTTTTTACCATCAGGGCCTCGTGAGCCTATACTGGTGCTTTTAAAAGTTATGTTTGACTTTATGACTTTCTGTGTCGTTTCTGGGATGCTGAGGACTCATATTGCACTGCTGGAAATAGTTTATTTTGATGCATGTGCTGCTTTTTTATAATATTTATTATCGTTTTTCCTGCAGTGTATAAAAATTGGTGTATTTCAAAAATAAAACTATGAAGACACTCAAAATAAATTTCCTGTGGTGGGAAACTATTTTGTGCAACTTTTTTGCATTCACAGTTTTGAGGGATAAGCCTCTTAAATTTCTCTAACTAGAAATATATGTTAAAAAAAACAAAAACGATTTTCAATTTTTTTGTAGTTTATTGCACTTTTTTGCAATTTATGTAATCACTATGTACCTAATACAGACATATTATTAAAATTTGGGCTATAATGGTTGTATTGATGTATAGCAACTTGAAATGCTCCCGAAAATGGCTCCACAGCATGTAAAAAATAATATAAGCTCTGGCGGACTTGGTTCTATGGTCGGTCTTGAAGGGTTAATGTTTAATGATTCATAGTTACGTTTAAACACCAGCAGGAAGTTAGGTGCTCAGTAAAGAACAGGAAACATGGCCTCGTTTCCTTCTTTGAGTGTAGACTGCTTACTTCCTCACCCCTGACCTGGTGCCTGCAGTGTGGCAGAATGTGTGCAGTCATCTGTTCGTCGTCTGATTGGAAACATCATGCTAACCATTGCTAACATCTTCTTTAGATAAAGTATGTTTCATCCTCTCCTTTCAGGCTCTTCAGCACCTCCGAGGTTCAGCATCTCTGTGGGAGTCCTGCTCCTTCATTACACTGAACACTTTGATCAATTATTCCATTAACTTTCCCTCGTCTTCTTTCTTTGTCTGTTGTCACCTTTCAGAGGCCTTGCTGGAATCCTACCCCTGGGATTGCTACGTCTTCGCCCTGGCGGTTTTCGTCACGCTAACCAATCAGATTCACAAGTGGAGCCACTCCTACTTTGGCCTCCCGCGATGGGTCACGCTGCTCCAGGACTGGCATCTGGTGTTGCCACGGAAACACCACCGCATCCACCACGTGTCGCCGCACGAGACGTATTACTGCATTACCACCGGTATGATGCTGAGCTCCGTATCAGAGGGGCAGACGTGACTGCAACTGTCTCGTGACAGGACGGTCACTCATGTGTCCGCTCAGATTCCTCGACGTTCTCGTAGAGTCGTGCAGGGGAATCAGCCCGTGTCTCTGTCAGGCTGTCAGACATACTGGGAGTGCAGAATTATTAGGCAAGTTGTATTTTTGAGGAATAAT